GAAACGATAGCTCTTATCTGGTCATCTTTTAAGCAATGGTAGCCTAATTTGCTGGCACTTGATGTCACATACTCCAGAATCTTATCTCTCGACGCCATTTATCACGTGACTAACAGTGACATTTCATCGTTACACGTGTCTCGAGCATTCTGATTGGGACGCCCAAAAACAGGGCATGAAGCCATGACTTTCAACGCAGTGTCTCCAGACCCTTCCGCTCCTCCGCGGCAAGGGGCGTGGCGAGACTAGTGCAGTATATAAAATTATTTTTATTTTCTAATTTTTTGCAGAAGATTTTGAGGACATTGAGGAAGGTACATGTGTACTTTTATATACACCTGTAACTAGCTTTTATTGGTTTGTATACAATTATTTTTTGTATTTATGTTTTCAGATCCACAGATTGAATCCACTGCTAAAGCAGAACCAGTACGTCAGTATGATAATTAATTTTCAATGATAATTTTTTGTTTAGAGAGCTGGTGCTTCTTCAATCATACAGACCACATCATCTGAGGGTAACATTCCCACCACAAGCACTACTACTTTGGTAGGTATACCACATTTACAGTTACAGTAAATTACAATAAATTATGCCGCATACACAATGTAACTAGTTACTATCATACAATGTGGAAAACTTTGTTTTCAAAAATTATTTTTTAGCCTTTAATTTTTGTAATTTTCTACTTTTTAGCCATCTTGACCTTATTAAAAAATCAATTTTTGTGGATATATTTTTTATGAATTTTGAATAAATGCAAAATCCATGAAAATTTTGGGCCACGAACTTTTTTGCTATGCATCAGTAGTGTTGAAGGAATACCGTAGGTCGGGATATATTCGCGGCTGCTTATTTTCGCGATTTTTTCCCGCGCTCAGCAATTACCATGGTTACCAGATGCAATTTTAATTGAAAAGGCCGCGATATTAAGAGCAAAGGACTCTGTTGCAGTGTTCTTGGGTTGTTGTTCTTCTTGTTTTTACTAATCTTGGGTCTCTTTGGAGCTGTTTTAACCAGAGCTACTCTCCTCACTCTGCCTCGTCGTATCTTGGCCCATTCTTGGGACTCCCCACCCATTTATTAACTTGGGCGTGGTTAATTACCACCAGCAAGTGGAGACTGGAGCGGCAAGGATTTGTAGCAAAGAGCTCGAAGGTAGTGGTCCATACAAGAAGATAGCGGATGGAGAACTGGATGGCTCCCGCTAAAGCTGCTAAAGAATAGATAATTAGCTGCTGAACACTGTAATTGTATAAACACGTGGTCTTATTGTCATAGCAACAATCAAT